GGGGGGGCCGGAGTGTCCTTGGCCGCGGTGCAGGGGGGATGGCGACAGCCCTCGGCTCCCCCCGCCCGCCCACGCCGGGCCGGGAACAATTGCAGGAACTTCTCCTTTCCCAGTGTCCTGGCCGCGCACGCCGTCGACAGAGGTGTGAGAGGAGGGGGCTGCCCTGCCTCTGCCCCGGCTTCGAGGGGAGCAGGATCCGGCCTTCCCGGTGCTGGTGCAGCTGTGCCCAGGCCTTTGTGGGCGCAGGACGAGACTGCCTCCCCCAGCGCAGCCCGCCAGCCACCTCTTGCCCGGCCGGCTCCCAAAGAGGTCGGGAAGCCCTCCCTAAGCAAGGGGGAGGGGAGCCGGAGAGGAGAGCAGAGCAGAGCTGAGAGGGCTCTGCGATGGGGAGAGGGCAGGGGGACCAAGCTGAAAAGGGGCTGGGTCTGAGAGCTGGACAGCGAGGAGAGGAGAGGGTAGGGATTACAGCGGAATGAGAGCGGCAGGGCAGCCAGGAATCGGGGAGAAAGAGGGAGCCCTGTCAGGTCAGCGGCAGGATCTGCCTCCTCTGAGCCGGTGCAGCAGCCAGGTACAGGCAGGAGGCTTGAGGAAAAGCTGCAGCAGGCTGACTTAGCCAGGCAGGCTTGTTACAGGCTGAAAGAAGAAACAGACACACTTGGGTTAAGTGGCATATATTCCCCCCCACAATGTATCCCGCAGAAAAGACCTCAGGCTCTTCCCTCTTCCTATTCAGATTTAGGATTCACAAGCAGTAAATTCGGCTTTTAGTCATAACACCTCTCTCCCACCACCCACCCACCCCTTTCCTTGCTTTTTCGCTCTGAGTCATCTTCAACACCGGTGCCTGCCTACTGCTCCCTTCCAGGGTTTCACGGCCTCATCTGGGGCTTCAGCAGCTTCCAGCTCATCCTCTCTCCCTGCCTCCCTCTCTGCCATTTGGCTGCTTCCGAACATATCCCGCTTCACTGAGTTGGTCTGGAGTGCCAGTGCACCCACAACTACCACTCCTTTCCCACTAGCCATAGTAGTATGCTGATAAATAGCATCCAGGGTAAAGGAGTACAGGGTGTAGATAAACATGACGTTACATTCCTCCCTCTTTTTAAAGAGCTTAATTATCAGGACATGTCTGGCTAGATCAGGACTTTTCCATCAAGCTAAAAGGCTGGGCTGTTGACACCTTTCTCCCTTCATTAAAGGTAATTCACGATTACTGGCAGCGACTGCTGTTTGGAGCATGCAAGGTCTATGCAGAGAGAGGTACCGCTGCAGCAGGAAGACCTTCCAGTCTCCTCTAGTCCTGGGCTTTTGAGACAGGACTGCCTGTCGTTGGTGCTGTCGACTGCCGGCAGGCAAAGGCTTCCGGCAGGCAACAGGTTAGCCGTAGCCGAGTGCTGAGAGATGGAGGCAGCCGGTGTCAGCTTGCTCCCCTCCAGCCTCCTGGCCGCTGCCGCCCAGTGATAGAGCAGGCACTGCTGTCCTTTTTCATGACTGAGAGAAAGCAAATAAGCACATGGGTGTGTGTGAGTGTGTACGTGTGTGCACAGAAAAGGGAGAGAGGCTAGCAAACATGGATTCAAGATTTTCGTCTTCCCAGTGGCTGTGCAAAGGAATGAAAGGTCTGCATCAAGGTAAGGAGCCCTAATCCAGTCAGAGTGGTACACTCCACTCTGGGAAAGAGAAGTGGGGGTTGGGAGGTGGAGGGGCCAGGGTAAGAGACAGAGTGCAAGATGGGGAGGAAGCAGGGAGACAAAAGGAAACAAGAAAGAGAGAGAGAGGCTCTCGCCCCCTTCTCTCCCCTCCTCCCTCCTCAAGGTAGGCTGAGAAATTTCTAATCAGCACTTGCAGTTCCTTTCCTCCCAGCAATAGTTCCTCTCTGTTCTTTGTTTGTCTTTAATTTTTGGCTCTTGCATTTATCTTTTGTTTGGTTTTGTGCATTGTGACTTCTTACTGCAATTTCAAAAAACTCTGCATGAGGTGCAGTGGATTTGATTTGGCTTCTCTTCCTCCTGCCATGGTCTCCCACGTGCCTGAAGCTAGTGTTTTAATAACAAGAGCAAAAGGATGGAGAGCAGGTCATCCTTTATTCCTTCCTGTGAAGTGACACAGGTTAGGATACATGTGGCACTGTGTTCTTCGCATTGTAGAAAAAGAAGGTACAATTTGTCAAGTATCCTTAAGCCCCTGGGTAAAGCTGGTTCTTGTAAACTACTAAGTGCAGCTTGATTCTGGAATGAATCCTCCCCTTGGGTTTATCATTATTCTTATTAGTACTGTAATTCCTAATGCATTTAAAACTAGACAGAAGTGTTGCACTGGAGACTGAACTCCAGTTTTACCTATAGAATGAGCAGAGCAAATTTTTTTTTCTGCCTCACGACTCAGGCTAAGCTTGGAAAGATTACAGTTAGAAGACTGTCCACATTAAAAGGTGATCTTCTCTCCCTGTTAAGTAATTTTTCACTGATAATTTAGCACTCTGTACCTGTTTGCTCTCCCTATGCAGAGGAGCCACTGCAATGCAATGGTATGGTTCAAAGGCGGGTAGATTTACTACCTCTACTTTCCCAGCCACAGTTTAGGAGAGCAGGCAGAGGGGGCATACTGGAGCACAGTTGTGCTTTGCTGTTTCCTGGCCAACTGAGCAGACTTCTTGGGAAGGCAGGGAAATGGATGGACTGTTTTATCTGCCTTGATTTAAAGTATTCATTTGTCTTCCCTTGACTGGCTGCACGCAGCATAAGTGTAGTGTAACTGGGAAGAAATCTCACTTTTTTTTTTTTTTACTTTTTGTTCCTGTGAGATCAGCTTGAGTGGGACTGGCACCAGTGGAAATCCCAGTGCTGTCCCAAAGACAGGTGTTATGGCTTGGTGTTATAAGGCTTGGAGAGACTCTTCCCATTTCTTTTCTCAGGCTTCTGGTGGTGACCAATTACTGAGTGATAGTTCTGGGAATGATTTCTGGGATGCTGGGATGTAAACCAGGAGCCATCTGACAATTTTAACAGCTCTCAGACAGTATATAAGACAGGGGTGATCAGATTTGAGCTGGTGGCCAAAGCTGGGATAATTCACCTGAAAACATCCAGGGTGACTTTTGTGAATGTGTGAAAGGGGCGGGTCGTAAGAGAGTGTAATGGGTGCAGGGAAGCTGGTGAAGAGAGACCGATACCTAGAAAAGCCCATGAAATGTCCTGAGCTCTTGTGAAAGTCCTTATGTAGTCCCTGCCATTTCAGTGCTGTGTCCTTCCCTAGAGAAGCTGGGAGCATGGGGCGCCTGGGGGACAGCATCACAGAGAATGGGGAAGAGCAAGGAATAGTCCAGTGTCTGCTGCAGTCAGTTTGCAGAGTCTGGGCTGTGTCCTACGTGGAGTGTTTCCCTGTTGAGGTTCTGTGCTGTGAGTGCTGGGTGTGCAAGGCCGTGGTTTTCTCCGACTGCTTTAGTTTTGCCCCTTTCCAGGTTAAGCAGTTAGGGAGCTGAAATTCTGAGTTTTGCTACGGAGCTGTAAAAAGCAGTACTATGCTTTCACCTCAGCTGCAGCTGACCTATTTAAGTATTGGTTTCTTGCTGGCTAAAAAAGTTGGCAATTAGTGGCCACAGAGCTAAGAACACAAGTCTGATAGGAACCAGACCAAGGCATCCAATTCATTTCCATAAGGCACTCAACACAATCTGATGGTGATGGCTTTTTCTGATTAATCGCATGGATTGGATTTAGTCCAGCATGAGTAGGCAAGAATGTGTACAACACAATCTCAGTGATCCCACTGGCTCTCCATACAACTGTTTATCATCTCTGACTTTTCAGTCTCAAAGCCCAGATCTTGTAATTCCTGATCCAGGCTTGATCCACATGTGAAAGTGTGGATGGTGTGCCTGTATTCAGCAGTGGGGGAAAGAACACTGTTAATCGATGCATAGTGGCCAAGGCACAAAAAAGAAAGATGTAGCATCCTTTTGCCCAACGGTTTATTTTGTTTGGGGAAGTGATATAAACTACCCAAGGAGCACTGTCTCTTACCAATGAACATACACTTTTCTGCCAAAGCCCTTAGTTATAGTCCAGGAGTAGTTTTCCTGAGGTGCGTAGTTCAGGGCCCATGGACTTCTGTTCTCCTGTGTGCACAACTGTCACTCCTGTCAATAAAGGTGCATAAAATCAGGGGATGTAATTTTTGTAGTTTCATAGCATCAGCTATACTGCCTCAGGCGAGTGGTAATGTGAGCCAAATAATTGCAAAGAAAGAGATGTGATGCGTGCACAGGTAGGGAGACCCATGCTGACCTGAAGAATAATGCATGCTGCCTTCTTGTGGACTCAAATCTTAGGCACTAGAAGGATACAGTCTGAGACCTATTCCATTGAACTACAGTACCTGGCTTTGCCATTATTTACAGGGATTAGTGCTTCAGATCAACTTCATTCTAATTAGATGATCTTTAAGGTCCCTTCCAACCCAAACCATTCTATGATTCTATTCATAAAGGCTAACTTAAGGCTGTGTAGTGAAGCTAAGTCTTCCTGAGATTCATCTAGCCTCAGGGAGGCATAGGCTTCTCCGGAGGGCAACTGGAAAATAAGAGCCTAAGTTATCACTTCTCAATTGCCTTCTCTCTTTTACTCATGGAAAGTGCTTATGAAGATAAGGCTCACAAGGCTCAAATGCGGCCTTACAAATATCCCCCTCTATAATCACTTCCCTGAATTTTCTTTAATCACCACTAAAATGTATTAGTGATAGCTTGTGTGTAATGTTGATTGCATACTTTGAATGCATAATCTGAGGATAGTTCAGGAAAATAATCAGAGAAAGGAGACATGCATGTTGCCGATGAGAAACAGACAAAATCCATACAATTATATTTCTGAAGTGTGATTATTTTTAAGCTCTTTCTCCAGGAGTGTATATATACACATGCACAGACATGTAAATACCTGGATTATTTTTATTTTCTGAGAGTAAGGATATCTGTGTTTTTAAGATGCACTTGATTAATATTTGCAGACCTTTTTTTGGGGATTTAGGAGAACAAGAAAGAAGGGAAGAAAAATTGTCACGTAGTCATGAGACTCCCATGAGTGAGATTTTTCTTGTGAAAGTTCAAACATTGTGAAATTCACAATGAACAGGTTGCTTCTCTGGAGTGCAGGAATTACATTTCCGTGATGATTTTGAAATAAGGGCTAATCTTGCTCTGTCTGCATTAGTCAAAACATAGCAGAGCGCAATTCAGCTTCTTTTTAGTCCTACTTGTATTAAACTAGACAAAGAGCTACCACGGTGCTGTCACTAAGCTTGTCATCATTTTTCACATCTTTCAGCCTTTTTTTTTCTCTGCTGTATAAACAGCCCAGAGTTGTGTCCTGTGGTACATTGGAGGCTTTTCTTATCTTGGCTCATCTCTTGAAGATTTTTGAGGTCAGCAGTTTCTTCTTGAAGTTGAGGAAGTCCTAAGCAGACCTCTATAATTCACACACACGGACATAACTGATAGGTGTAAAGCCACCATCTTGTCTTCAGGCAGTCGAGCATCCTGTTGGCCTTTCTGATGGACACTGTTACAGCAGTGACGTATTACATGAATCGATTTTGGTAATTTATTTTTTTTTTTTTTTGGCAGAGGAAATTACAGGTGTATAATTTCCCAGTTCAGCCATATATAATTATATATAATTTGACTTAAATAGATGTAGAGTTTCCGCTGCTCTAGTCTCTCAGTCTGAGGCACTGTGTTGCTCTTAAATGCTATTTCTGGAAAGGATCCGAAAAGAATACTTTAAAAGTTAATAAAGAGCTTGGGGTGGGATATAGAAGATGCCAGATAATTTACTGCACATCTCCCAAATGCTTTTGGGTAGAAAAAGAATTCCTATGTTTTCCCGAAAGCTGCTTTTCTTTTCTTTTCTTGATATAGACATTCATGTGGGGGTGGGGTGGGGAAAGTTAGTCAGATGAGAATTTGCTAAATCTCAGCTAATCATTTATTAAAGCAGTTCCTGGCTTGTCAAACTCATTGATCT